TCTCATCAGAGTGAATGGGCGAAATGGACACCAAAGAGGGATGGCACAAGCAAATTGTAAGGGTGAAATGCAATAAGTGCCTAGCATGAAGTAAGCGCTCAACATCGATTAGTTGTTGTTATTATTGTTGTTGTACTTATCAACATCAGCACTGCAAATGGTCAACCAGATAGACTTTATACATGAGCAGCTCCCCAGACCACCATTTGAAAACTAATGCCCGAATGACAAAGTAACACATCTTCCTATAAGAGACAGTCTTATGTTTACAGCGAGTTTTTAGAATGCTTCAGTAATTTCTAAAGTGCCTTTAAAAATATCATCTCATGATGTCACTTTTAGCTAAAGTGACTAGAATCAACACTGTAACCCCTCCGGTTTTACCCACCCAGGCTATAGGAACTGATAGTGATGCTGCTGCTTTAGATGTTTGCAGAATCTGGAAATTCTCATGGGAATGTGGCTATTGGCTGAGGGTTGGAAAGAGGGAGGGGAGAGTGGAAAGGTAGGTTAGGCTTTATAGGAAAGATGTCAATTCATAATTGATTCAAATACTCTAAATCTTCAAGTGAAGTCATGATACAGTTCTAAAATGTGAAAAGCAAAATAACCATGTTGCAAATAAAAGCCAAAAATCTTGACATTTTAGAAGCAACAGGAAAGGGTTAAAGGAAGTACATATGAAGAATATAAGGACTTGACTTGGCTTGAAATTCATGGGCAAGATCAGGCTGCTATGTACCTCAGGAGAGTGGGTGTAACTCAAGAGTGGAAAAATTTATTGGCAAAATCAAACTGTCTGCAGTTTTTCAGGCTGAGACATTTCCTGTCTTAGATGTCTGGGTTTGTCTCAATGCCCAAATAGCTTTACTTCAAAGTGTTTGTGGGAGAAGAAAGGAGAATTGGATGAGTGTGTTTATTCAGTGCTAGGTTGGAGAAGTGGGAGGGGAGTGGGCTTAGGAACAAGCCTGGGTTTAAGAGCACATGGACGACAAGGAGATAACCATTTTTCTGAAGACCAGCATCCAGGCTACTTCCCATAAGGAAGAAAATCCTGGGAGGGAAAAACTTGTTAAACAAGAGGAAACAAGAATCTTTGAAGCTGCTTAGGTGTGTAGGTAAGTCACAGCGGTGTTGGGTGCCCTGGAGAACAACATGGGCTATTCTCTCTTTTTAAAAAATTAAAAAATTTTGAAGTAATTTCAACTTTAAAGAAAAGTTATAAAAATAATACAAGGAATACCCTTTATCCAGATACATTATTTCAAAAAAAAAAAAAAGAAAAAATTTTCCATTTTTAAAAAATGATTTTCTATCTTCCTCTCTAAACACACATGTACACGCATACATATGATCTAATTTTGAACCATTTGGGGTTTGAGGATAGTTTGCATACACCATGCCCCTTTGCTCCTTAATAATTCAGGGTTTGTTTCCTAAGAACAAAGACATTCTCATAAATAATCATAGTACAATTTTCAAATTCAGTATATCGAGCTTTGATATAATACTCCTACCTACTCAACAGACTATAGCAATTTCTTTTTCTGATAAGGAAGGTCTCTCTTTGATAGGGGGCTGAGACTAAATTAGCAGGACAAAGATGTGTACCCCTTCTCTCAGCTCTCATTAGCATCTTTATTGGTAGAGGAGCTCTGGCAGGTCAGTTGTTTGGTTTTCTTTGTTTTCATTCTTATTCCATCCTTCCCTAAGATATTTGTCCTTTTGTGTCAGTTTATTTAACACAATGTGTTCAAGGTTCATTTGTTTGTATCATGTATCAGAATTTCATTTTTTAGGGCTGATTTATGGACATGCAAACACACACACACACACACACACACACACACACACACACACACACATCTCCCTGTCTCATCTTAGGATCGAGAATGCATTGTAAAACTTTTTCTATTTCTTTTGATCTTTGGGGGCATGGTAGGTAGCAAAGAGAGTAATAAATCCTTGACTGAGCAAAAATAAATTTGGGGTAAAAATAGAGATGATCTCTTATAGCAATTCTAGTCCTTTCCTGAGAATAAGGCTTTCTACAAGAATTTCTCTTGAGGTAAGCGTGACACTGTATTTGCTTGCCTTCTCAATCATCCTATTGGGTTACGTGGAACTAATTTCTGTTTAAGAGACAGTCGATGCCAGCTTTCCCCCTCTGATGCCCGCATATGAACCAATTTCAGAACTGTTTTGCCTGTATTTTTCAGTTCTGCAGGATCCACACATAGGGAGGGACAGGAGGGACAGGAGAAATGAGAAAAGAACAAGAAAGTATCTCTGCCTTGAGGGAGATGGGATAATGTAGAGAAAGAAGAGGAGACCCCAGAGACTATGCTGTCAGGGTTTAGGGCATAAGGTCTCTACTGGAGCCAAGAGTCACCTCAAAGTCCTTTCCTTCCTCCCCTCCAGGCAAAATGAAGCTGACTCTGGTGCAGATCTTTTTCATGATGTTGCTGCTGTTGCTAGGCCTGGGGATGGGCCTAGGATTGGGACTTCAGATGGCCGCAGCACTCTTGGAGGATAATGATCAGTCACTGAATGAGTTTTGGTACAGCGACTCAAAGGACATGGCAGAGGCCACTAAGGAGGGAGAGGGCTCCCGAACAACAGAAACCCTGCTGCTTAGCAACAAAGTACTGGTGCAACCTGGCTGGCCAGAAGAGACCATTCTCAGTGAAGATGAAGTTGGAGGAAACAAGATGCTCAGAGCTGAGGCTCTCTTTCAGAGCAACAAAGACTATTCTAGGTTTGACCTGACGGCCCGGGAGTGCAATGCCATGATGGCAAATAAGATAAAGGAGCACAACCGCACATGCATAACCCAGTACACATTCATTCATGAGGAGCTAGAGACAGTCAAAGCTGTCTGTAATGGGCCTGTTGTTGATTGTGAACTCAAGGGACGCAAATGTCACAAAAGTTCCCGTCCTTTTGATTTGACATTCTGCAAGTTATCCAAACCAGATCAAGTCACTCCTCACTGCAATTATCTAACTTTCATTTTTGAAAAGTTCATTATTATATCCTGTAGTGACATGAAGGTCCAGGTCACATCTGAATGATGAAGCAACTTGTCCTCTCTACCTTCTCTTCTTCCTCTTTCTCAAGATGTTTTCCTCCTCTTAGGTATTCTGCAAAAAAGGGTTTGAGAAGAGAACCTTTATCATTCTCCCCTGAAAATATAATTCTTTGCCTGCAAGTTCGCCTAACTTGCATTTTGTTCCTGGGATTAGAAGTGGCAGAATAGTTAATAATATGTAGAATCTCTAGGTTTTTCTCTCTCTCAATCCTGTCTCCTCTCTTGGAAAGAGATAAATGAAGAACTGCTCTAAGCTCTCCTGTGGTCCTGGTCATCAGTCTGTTTCCTGGTCTGTTTGCCTTTGGGTGTAGACTACAAGAATTTAATGCATCCTTTGCCCATGTCCTTTTCTGCTACCCATTATAAGTCTCCCAAAATATGGGACCTAGATATAGGGATCTGCTAGTCAGGCGCTGTGGTGGTACAAATCAAAATAGAACTTGTGCTGGGACAAGGACAGCCCTCTTTTTCTTGATCTTTCTCTACCCTTATCTCTTTCCTCCCATCTTTTACTTCTCTTCTTTGTTTTGCTTCTTTTTACCCTGTCTTCCCTCTGACCTCCTTTTCCTCTTCTTTTGGGGCTCTCCCTGTTCTTTCTCCAGATTCTTTTAGAAATTTATTCGACTGACACTGATCACTTTTGCAATGACAAGTAAGATGTTGGTCCTATAGTCAAAGAGTGAGTCTGGCATGAGGATCAGAGGATGGTGGGTCAAGAGACTGATGAGGAGAGGGAGATCAGAAAGAGTACCATTTCTCCAAATTTGTTCCAGAAAGTAGTGCTCGCATTAGGTGCTCAACAGATGTAAAATAGAGATCAGAGGGACTCTCATTCTCACTTAGCACCTCTTCTCCTTTTCTGCTCCGAAGGATAGGAAAGTTAGTGAAAGAATAATTTCAGCAGAGAGGGTTTGCATCTACTCAAGGAGGGAAAAAGCTATGGGGCTGAGTAAATAGAGGATGTAAGTAGATGCCATCAGCCTATTTCCTCTGAATTCAAATTGATCAAGAAATAGCGTAGCAAGACATGCATGGGTGCAAGAAGGAATCCAAGAAAATGGCTACAAGGATCTGTTATATCGATTTTGAGATCCTCCTCCTAGAGTTTTTCTCTGTTTCACCTTCCCAGACTGTAACATACGCAAGAGTCAAGGACATACATAAGTGGGAAACTGAAGGGAAAAAAATTTTGTCTTACTCTGACTTGCCTTTTACTTTCCTGTTCTTTCCTCATTTATTCCTCAATTTCCTTTATCATTTCTGTTCTCAAAGGCAGGCAACAACTTAAATGTGTTGGTTCTAGTAGCCTCTCAGACTTTTAATTTAATAGTTCCCTTTATACTTCTGACTCATCTCTCCTGGCAATGACTTCTTAGAAACAGCATTGTTGGGCAGGAAGCGTGTCTGCACCTGTGGGCTGCCCTGACATTTTATAGGTCAGTGAGGGAGTGGTGGGAAGTGAGGAGTTTGGCCAAGGCAGATTCCTACTCTTCCTGATGGTGAACCCCTTCCAGGAGGAAAAGACAAAAGATTATCTAAGGCAAGGGAGAAAATAAGAAGTGAGGTAGAAAGAGAGGAAAGAAGAGTAGATGTCAGAGAAAATCAGCCATGTTAGAAATTTTCCAGTAGGTAAACCAAAGCTATTTAGGACTGGGAATTTGAAAGTCTGACTTCTTCTTAATCAAAAACCAAAGGGTCCTTTGTATGGGGTAAACTATTAAGAAACTAGAATTAGTAAGGATTTGAAGCATATATTCTCTCATTCACAGATGAGATGACATCCTCTTATAGGTTCCCACCAATTTTTCTTTTTGAGGGTTTCTACATTGTCACCCTTGCTCCACCTTTTAGTCTTCATTTTGGACAAATCTCAGTGGTCAGGCTTTTATTAGGCTGTGGAGACAATCTCAGGAAAGCAACCTACAAAACACTCTGAGGGTACTTAGTGGCTCCAGCAGGAAAACATCATGTGGTGACAAGATCTGGACTCCTTACTCACCAGGAACAGAAAATTAACTCATTGTAACCCAAATGCTGCCTCATTTATAAAACTTTCACTGACTCTTGCAGCTTTAATGCAGCTTTCTCTTTGCGCTTCCATGCTTTAGGCCATATAACAGATTTTCAATTCCTTATCCGCTGTTTCTAAACCCCCAAAGCTCTGAAAACAGAAGTTTTCTTTCAAAGGCTCCAAAACTTATTTAGATGCAAAATCTAAATGCTATATGGCTATATGGCCATTACACATTTCACTGAGGAAATATCAATGTGTTTGATTATGAATACTGCCTCAGAGAGACTCTTCTAGGGGTGTTTAAGTAATCTCTCTCTCTCTCTCTCTCTCTCTCTCTCCCACACACACACACACACACACACACACACACACACACGAGTCACATAATATTGAAATCTGAAATTTCTAAATTTGAAATCTGAAAAATTCTAAATTTCAATATGCATTGGCCCCAAAAGTTTCAGGTAAGGGATCATGGACCTATATATGCTATTTAATTAGCCCTTAATTAATTTGCATATACAATATATGACTCTAGTTAGGCCATAAGCATTTATGTGGAAGCAACTATGTTTCTTCTTATTCTTCAACACATTTGATCAATGATTACCTGTTTATTGATTATCCAGTACCTCCTCAGAAGTTAAAAATTGTATGAAATAGTCACTTAAGGGGAGCAAGTTTCTGACTCCTGTCAAATACTGCACAATCTAACAAAAAGAGTAGCCTAATCTACATTTCGGACGTCTTTTCAAGATGAGCAGGAAGGAAGTTATAATTCAATGTTGAACACTTTACTAGAGGCTGTCACATATTTGGTTTTATGTAATCCCAGTAAGGAAGTGATGTTATATTAGTGTGTTTTACAGATGATAAGTAACAGACTCAGAAAGGCCAAGTTTACCTCAACCAATATCATCTAACTCATAAATGCCTGATCTGTAATTCAAATGGAGGGTTCCTGACCTTCCTTCTATTTGCTGCTTCCCAATTTAAGGTGCCATTTGGTTTGCTCACCCACATCCCCAAGGATGAGATTCGATTCGAAGTTTTAGGTCTGGATTCTGGATTCTTTTTCTTTACATCGGTCAAAAAATATTTATAGTGCTGAGCACATATGCACCAGGTACTATAAGAAAATGAGCGAGAGCCCGAGCAAGAGCAGGAGCGGATGCAGGAGAGAATCTCTAGGTTCTGAGTCCTCTCAGGATGTGAACACAGGGCCAGAGGATGACTTTAGAGGCCCAACATCTGGATGATTATGGCTGCTTCTTAACATAATATTAAACAAACAAACAAACAAACAAACAAAAAATAAAACAAAACCATAGTATGTATAAGAAAGTTCAACAAAGTTTGGATTTTTATTAGAATGTGTACTTTAATCCTTTTAAAAATATAGAACAATCTTTTCCCACCCCCAATTCAGTCTCCTTGCTGTCATTATTATTCTCACTCTCTTTTTGGCTGTTGCTTTGCTAACATTGGGTAACGTAGCACAGAAATGTGACTGGGAGAGGGGAACCAAGGCCAGAAAATGACTCCTTTACTATTTATTTGCAAGACACTCAAATATTGTCTGTAGGATACTCTACACAAGTCTTTCTTAACCTTGACTACTCATTGGAATCACCTTGGGGAGCTTAAAAAAATACACTAAGTACAATCCCAGGATTCTTCTTCCAGAGATATTGATTTAATTAGTCTGGATCGGGACCTGGGCAGCAGGTGGAGTCTAGGCATCTTAGGGGTCTCATTACTATTCTTCCTATGGGAATTTTTCTGTAAACTGATATTTCAAAGACTATTGACAGGGATGTTAAAATGATTTGGGAGATGCTGGGTTAACAAGAGTTAAGTAGGTTTTTGAAAAAAATACAGATCTCAGAACCTTTAATATTAACATGCATTGTGACTCTCTAAGAGGCAGAGAGCATATTCAGCATTTCTGAATTTACTTCACCGTGAAATTCCTCCCCCTTCTCCTTAGTCACTTAAAAATTAATTTCTAGAACTAGTGTTTCTAGTTGGAAAAAGTTATTCTAGACTTTTTTAAAGCCCTTCATCTGAGTTTTTTCACCTAATACAGTTATCATGGGGCCCACCTTGAAGACTGACATCTAGGTGAGATTATAAAATAATCTATACTCAGATTACCAAGTAATCTCATGTGGTATGCTATAGGAGAAAATAAGCACTTCTTGGGAATCAGATAGACCCGGGATAAAATTGAAGCTTTGCCACTTAAAAACAGTTGTGACCATGGGTAATAACTCTTGGTTCTCAGAACCTCAAGTTCCTTATTTGTTAAATGAGATAACACTAGTATCTACTGTATAGGGTTGTTATGAGTATTATAGGAGACTAAATGGCCCATAGGAATGCTCGGTGAATGGCAGCTGCATTTGGCGTTGATGTCACAAGACTCGTTGATCATAAAGAGCAATAAGCATTTTGACAGCATCCTTCTGGAAGCAGTACTATGATACGAGTGCAATAGCATTAACATGGGTTTCAGTTTTAGACACATTGGCTAGTGTGTGGATATGTGGGGTCTTGTAAAAATCATAAAATTCCATTCTTTGGATGGCCACAATGTTTATATACTTGAACCCAGTGCAGTCTTTAGACCTGAGTAAACCGGGCCCCTGCTCTGAACCTATCCCTTCAGGGGTCCCTATACTTTGAACTGCCTTTCACACAGGAAGTTGCCCTCTGATTTTTGGGACTGATTGGGACCAGCAGTGCCATCTGGGTCAGGTACCCTGAGCTTGAACTGGGGCCTGTGGGCCTAAGTCTCATTACTCCCCTTCAGGGTACTGTTACCCTACCCCGTGTATAGGGCCAGCCAGCTGTCCTTGAAGAGTTCTGAGACTTGCACCTACGGGGTCATCTTAGGGCTCTGAAGCCAGCCCTAGTTCCAGGAAGGTGGCTCAGTAAGTGGATGGCCCCTTCTGATTGGTGTGGTACTTCTTTTGTGGGATCACATGACAGTGAGCCACCAGAATGGTACTGGTATATTGATTTGGGGTGACTTAAGGGTCATCTTAGGGCTCTGAAGCCAGCCCTAAGTTCCAGGAAGGTGGCCCAGTAAGTGGATGGCCCCTTCTGATTGGTGTGGTATTTCTTTTGTGGGATCACATGACAGTGAGCCAGCAGAATGGTACTGGTATATTGATTTGGGGTGACTTAAACACATCCTAGACACAATATGAATGTAGGATCCTGGGTCACCAGTGGTCC